CTTCTACTCCAAGAAATCATTTTTGGCTGGTAGATTATTTAAGGTCAGCAGCGACTTTAGGAATCCACCAGCAGATAAAGAAAAAAAAGTACAGAATTAGGTCTCTGGTGCCCTCAGAGACCCGATAAAAAACCCAGCTGTCTGAAGCTGAGGACAGGCAGCACGCTACTAAAGAACACACGCAGCACGAACAGGGAGACGGTGGCTGAGACAAGCCAGTAAAACTGACTGGAAAATTTATGAGAAGAACAAACAGGCAGATGGTTTATCTCTCCAAAATATATAAATTGTCTTTAGAAATGTTCCTCGGGGGAGACCCTTCGTCTGCTCGCCTCTGTCTGCCCTGTTCCCCTCCTTTTTTCTCTTTCCAGTCTCTCTCAAGGAAAGGAACCACGTGGCCTGTGAGAATTATAAGATTGTAAAGCACCTTTTAGCATTTTATGCATCTTTGAGGTGCCAAATATGTCATGTGGAGCATCAGTGACGCAAAGCAGAGGCCCAGACATCAGTCTGAAGTGTAATGTGTTTCTGGAGGTGTAGATGGACTCTGACTGGACAGCTTTGACGATATTTGAACATGTGTAATATACTGTTATTTATTATAATATGTAAGGTTCAATACTTTGTATGAAGTGTTTTTGTTTTATAATGTTTCTAAGTGAAAATAAAAAGTCAGGACTCTGTAACTTGTCTTTATGAACCTGGTGGAACTTTAAGTCTCTTTCTCATAATGCAGTGATATGTACTTTAGAGAAGCAAATCATTGACAAAAGCCCTGAATGGCACATGCTTCAAGGATCTCTTCAGTCTAGCAGCACTAATCTAATTCCAGTCCCACATATCCCATTCTGCTTTCACTTCAGGAGTACAAGGAGCCATGCGTCCAAGCACGTCACCTGCCCCAAACACTACCCAAAGACTACAAACGTGCTCAGCGTATCTTAGACAAAACAGAGAATGTACCTCCCCTCCACCAGGGAATGTTTTGAGCTGGGGCCAAGCCGCCAGCTCCTGTGCCCAGAGAAAGGTGTTTTTGTCTGGACTCAGAAACCTGGCTGGCTGGGCCACCGGCACCTCCTGGCTGGCTGCACGTCCCGGCCCTGAGCGGAGAGTAACTTGAGCCTTTTATTGCACAAGCGTGAAGCACTTCTCGGCTCCTTTACAACCACTGTCTGTGCCACACTGCTCTGCAGAGAGCCCACACACATTCAAGACTGTATGACTACACTTGTGAAGGCTTTATACTGTTCACAATCCCTGATCCAGCTAACAAACTTTATACATTAAGTTACCACCTGAATTTTAATTTTTACAAGGCCTCACATTTACAGAACAAGTAAATCTGAGCTTTTTACAGACTCTCAGGTGATGTGGATCATATGCACTCACATCGTCTGAACCTCAGTCTGCCAGCTCACAATCATGATCACAATCATCACTGTAAGCCTTGATTGACATTAGCGTGACCACACTCCACGGCAGAGTGGAATTTTAACGTCAGTTGAAATGTAATGAAAAAAAAAACATCTGAACAAATGGAAATGACCGCTTTTAGGCCAGAAAGCGCAACTTTTCCCAGAATTAAAAATGCTGACGAAAATAATATGCATTATTAGCTTTTATTAGATCCAATTAAACACCAGAGTGGATGGCGTGAAGCGACTGTGACAGACTCTGGTATGTGTGGTATGTTTGTGATTTTAGCTATGCTGTACTTTCTGTGGTGAGACAGCAGCCTTTGTGCCACAGGTCCTTTCTCTGCGTCAGCTGTTGCCACAGCTGCTGTTAATGCCGCGAGGTCAGCTGCCTCGTAGAGACAACAACAGAGCTGCAGCCACAACAGATCTCCACTGCCCATCACCTGTGATACAATCGGATTTAATCCTTCTGTTGAAGTATGGCGTGGTTAGGCTAAATGGAAAATTAACCATCGAGATGTAACAAATAGTACTGTAAAAAAAAAAAAAGTATTTGACTAGTGTGTAACTATGACTTCTAACAAACTGATGCATTCTCATAAATTTCTAATTAATTAATTAATTACATATAAGTGAGAGCCAGTGAATGCCACAGTGTTGCTTCTTGAATACATGGACACTGATGTTCCACCTATGAGACCTCAGAGGTATAGGAAAAGAGAACTGGTAGGCATATGTGTGCTGTGGAGGCAAATTTTGATTTGTGCCCTCACATTCAGACTCAAGATATGAAAGCTCATCCACATGTTCTATCACCTGAGAAGGGGCTCCCTTCACCAAGGAAGCAGAAAGGTGCAGGTACATAATTCCCACAACTACTTTCAAATTACTGGACAGCCTCGACAACTAGTCATGTGCATAATCACATGTCATGTAAGACAAAAAATTAGCAACGTCACCCCCATTATCTAAGACATCAGTATTATTGTTCTGCTTTTTGAACCAGCACAGACCACTCCATGTCCTCACACAGCTGTCAGTCAACACATATGGCTCCCAAAGGGATTTTTGTGAGGAAATAATACCATATTAGATGTGCTGTGGCACATTTTTGGTCTTTGGATTAGAAAGGATCAGGTTTCAGACAGCATGGCTTCAAAGAGCGGGTGGTTTTACTGTATATGGGCAATAAATCAAGTTATTAATGCTCAATCAGAATGAGAAATAAGAGGAACTGAAACTAGTTTACTATTCATGTTAAGTCACGTGATTCTGTGCAAATCTGTGGTTTGGCAGTGACGTGTGGAACTAAACTCCTGACTGTGAACAGTGGCACAGTTTTTCACCCTGTTCAGCGTGGGTTCACTCATCAGTCGAGGAGATGCTCACCAGCACTACCCTTTCACCAAAGCACCTGTTTGTTGTCGCATTAAGCGATTACACTGTATGTCAGGCAACCAATATCATCGTAAATCACACCTGAATTAGTTAAACAAATTACATTTATAGATGCAGAACTGTTGCTGGATTTAAAGAAACAGAAGCCTAAATTTTGTGTAATGCCAAATATAAAAGAAGATATTACCAGTCCAACATCATGTGAAAATGCCATACTAGGATATTATGCCTCTGCTGCCACCTATTGCACCTACCTGCTACAGTACATGATCATTAAAGGACAATACCACTGTGCTTTAGATACATGTTGTTACCTTTGATTTAGAGTTTAAGTAACTGTTGTTGTGTGATGCAATTTAAGACTATAAATCATTAGCAATATGTTTCCCATTGTCTGTCTTGTGAACATAATATTGAAGAAGGACTTTAAACATTCTTGTCTTTCTCACAAAAATCTTCCTGGACTTACGAATGAACTGATTAGATTTTACTGGTCAAAAATTAAAGTTGGAGGCCACTTTGACCTAAACAAACACATTTCAGTCAGGTCCTCCTTTTTATCTGTAGTAATTTATATTTGCCTGTATGCACTCCAGTTAAGCACAGAACAGAGCACATACCAGAGACAACAAAAGTGACATTCATTAAGAGAGAAACAGCACAGCTGTAGGCAGACTAAGTTTAAACCGCACACCCATATCTGACTATATGACAGCTGTACTTTCAGCTATAAGCAGACCAATCACTCACTCTGGGCTGGAATTCAGTTCAGCTGATCTTGCAGTTTGACTTTGTGGCCATTTTTGGTCATGACCCAATAACTTTTGCACTAAATATGAGAAATTTTCAATTTTACAACTGTTTGTTGAACATTAATAACTTGATTGTGACATTTAATTATCAAAAGGTCTGGGACCAATTTTACAGTAACATCATGTTTTGCAAAATCATTTTTGCCACTCACATGGAAGTCGAACAGGTCATCTACTAATTATTTTAGAAAGATCCCTGGCTTCTCCAGTAAATTTGTCTTAGTGCACTTGAGCAAGATACTGAAACCTAATTTAGACCTAAATGCATCCATTAGAGCAGGGGTCCCCAATCCCAGTCCACGAGGGCCAGTGTCCCTGCAGGTTTTAGATCTCACCTTGGGTCAGCACACCTGAATCACATGATTAGTTCATTACTAGGCCTCTGGAGAACTTCAAGACATGTTGAGGGGGTAATTTATCCATTTAAATCAGCTGTGATGGATCAAGGACACATCTAAAACCTGCAGGGACACCGGCCTTCGTGGACTGGGATTGGGGACCCCTACATTAGAGTGTAACTGTGGGCTTAATAGATACAAACTCCATAAAGGCATACAACAACATGCTGTATGAACCACGCTGAGTGCACAATTAGAGTATAACAATGTTTTATAAGTACCAGTCCATGTAAAATTAATTAATTACATAATTTAGGAACAAAGGGGGAAACCACATTACATTTCTGGTCAGATACTAAGCTGGGCAACATTAATCTTTAGAGCCCATCTCCAAACCGTAAATACTGTATAGAAGACCTGTGTAGAAACAGCATCTATAATTTAGAAATCATAGCTGTATTTGTAGCAGCAGCTATATGTATTAAACTTTAGGTTCATGTAAAGGTTTTATTCACATAAAATAACCACGCCTAGTATCCTTTATGTTCTTCTCAACAGACATGAAACTGCAGTTTTCTCATTTTTATTCAGCATCTTCATATGAAGAGTTTGTTGTGATGTATCCAGGTAAAGAAAAATCCTAGAAAAGTGATCCTGTTCATCTGAATGCAGTGTTTGCAGTGAGATAAACACTGACCCCTGCTGGCCAACAAAAAGAATGTCGTCTCTGAGACCAAAGAAGTCATTTCAATGAGTGATGAAATGTTTCTCCTACTAATAAACGCCACATCTAGATGAACAGAAATACTTTTTCCTTAAGGCGCATGAACCGTTCTACTTTTCTTGATTATAAGGAACACAGTTACACACAATTTTGTGCCGGGATGAACTGATACGTTGTTTGATATCAGCCTTGTTGACTGACATGACAGTTACCTTTGCTGTGTCTCATAGATTTTGCTAAAGCAGAAGGAACAACTAAAAGAAAAAGTACAAATACAAAAATATGCACTAGCTATCAGTGAAACTGGGATTTTAAACTCTGATATCAATTTACAGCCGATGTATCTGGAAGCACGTTTTCATCGGGCACTGTTAAAAATGATTCTCTCGATCATCAAACTCCTGTGTAATTCTAAATAACAGGAAAACACAGAGTTACAGCTGATGATGTTTGTTCCACTCTCTGTATTCCTGCTGTCATTTCTCAGATGTGGAACCCAAACAGGCCAACTCTGCAGCACTGCATCCTCTCGTGTTTACAGACGCACTGATGGATGGTAGGTGGTGTGTAGTGAGACACGTCCCAGTGTGGTTTAGCGATGCAGTGTCAGGAATGAACGGCTGACCTGCTGCACAATAACACAGAACAGCTGTGAAGTCACTGCAAAAAAGATCAAAACTGATTTGTAGCTGAAAATTACTTAAATTATCTGAGTAGAATTTTTTAAAGAACTGAACTTCTAAAATAAACGAAGTCCTGCTCTGTACCTGCAGGAGGCTCCTCACAGTTATCTGCATGTCCTCTTTGTTCACACACAGCTCCAGCTCCTTGCCTTCTTTACTTGGCTCTTTTGATTGGCTCGCTATGCTCTCATTAGTCAGAGTCATGTTGCAGAGCTTCTCACTCAGTCTAAGAACAAAATTCAACACAAGACAACAAAAGACTGACTTTGTCAGCTACCTCAATGTCAGGTATCATCCAGCCTTCAAATTAACCTCCGTGTTTCTGACCTTTGTGGATCAGAGGAGGAGCTACAGGCCTGCATGGTTTCCATCAGCTGAGCTCTGATCGCTTGTCCTTTTGGGCTGGACAATACATCAGAGACCCTGCAGCCTGGGAACAGACACATAAGCATAGGAGCCACCTACACAAACAGACACACACAATTAACACAAGATTAAAGTTATACTGATAAAACTTTTGAAATTGTTTTCAGTAAATGTTTATCCCACAAGAGGTTTTAAAGTTTCTTGTTAATTGATTAGCCATTAACTTCCTTATTTTAGCTGTTAATTGGCTCCTTTAGTGTTGGGCTGGGATGACTGTTCGCATTAAAACAACTTCCTTTCAGGGTTATTTGAGTGTCATGTCTTCTCCTTATCTAAGGGCTCTGTCAGACATTGCGTTAATCTTATTGAATGAAATCTTTTGAAATGAAATGTGGTTTTACTGAAAACCACAAAAGATTAAAGAATTTGAGACCTCCTCGTGGGTGGGGTCCAGAATCAGCATGCAGATGAAGTCCTGCCTGGCCCCGTACAGGTTCGGCAGCTTTCGAAAAGCCTTCGATCTGCTTTCGTAGTAATGGCTAGAGGCGGGGTTGTGCTGGATGGCCAGAGAAAACATATCGACTGCCTCCTGGAAACGCCTGCAGATCCAGACACACACATTCAACAGTATATCAGCTAAGTGACATTTGATAACTTGACTTTATAAGTTTCTCTGTGTGGGTGTTAATGGGATGTTCTCCGTGTGGTTCTGACCCATCCTGGAAACACAAAGATCCCAGCGTGTTGTAAATGACAGCGAGTCGGAGGCGGACAGCAGGGTCATTTGGCTGCATCATCTCCTCAGCCTGCCGGTAGTCAGCCAGAGCATAGTACCAAGAACTCTGCTTAAAGAAACAGTCTGACACACACATATAAGCATCAGAATGGTTCCTCAGTTAAGCATTTAGTGTCAATATTTCATTAACTTTACACACATTAACTCTGATTTTAATTTTCATAATAGCTGCTTTGATGATGTAAAGACGGGTGAAAAACTAAACCCTAACACGATGAACGCCACTCTTCCTACAGATATTCCCATATTTGGTGTTTGATTGATGCTGAGAGAGTTGGGTCTCACATGTTGGTCCACAATCTCCCCACAGGCACTCAGCTGGGTAATTGCAGAGGCCAAGCAAATGATTCACATCATCTTCAAACCATTCAGTCTGGCCCAGCAGGATCAAAATGTTTCATCATATGATGACAGGAAACTATTTTTGTGTTGTTTTTCAGTGATGATTCTCTCTGAGGGAACACGTGTGGCCAAAACATATCAACAAAATCCCCAAGTCCAGCGCCTGGCATTATTGAACTGGCTTCATTTTCCAGTGCTGCTCGCCTCAACCTCATTCCTCCCCCTCTCTGTGCCACCCCTTTAACAAAAATCCTGCAAATGCCCCTGGATGTAACAATGAGAGGGGAAATGAAAGACAGGGTAGTGGGAGTGTGTCAGGGTTCCTGGGTCGGTGACCCAGTGTTTTCAGTTTTGTCACATTTAGGTTATGTTGCCACATCAATGTCTTCACTTCCTGTTTTTTCCCCATGTCAGCTTGTGTCATTAGTCAGATTATGTTCAGCCCTGTACTCACCTGTTTCCAATCATTGTCATCATTCAACCTGTGTATTTAAGTTCCTCGGTTTCACCAGTTCTTTGTCGTGTCATTGATGTTATGTTGTCGTTCCCGTTAGTGCTCAGTTATTCAGCCACTCAGTCTTTCAGTCAGCTAGTCAGTTCTACCGTTCCTGCTTTGGTCATTCACCCGCTCCAATAAAACCTCATCATTTCTGCACCGTGAGTCCTGCGTTTGGGTCATCTCTTCCACGCCTCCACACACAACCCCTGACAGAGTGGGATGATGTGGGACTGAACTGAAATCCAAGAAGGATTCATGCTTAACTTATGCTCCTGTGGTTGTGTTAGCTTATGGAGGGATTTCCCTTTAGAAAGCCTACAGAGAAACGGAGAGGGGTTTTGAACAACTGCAAACGTGCTCCCATGCAGTCCTCCAAAATCCCAACTGCATGTTGCTCGACATGAATGACAGTGTGCATCAGTCAAACGCTGATTAGCTGAAAGTGGGCCAGAATAGGGAGAGGAGTCTCAGTGGAGATCACCAGGAATGGGAAAAGTATGATACAACAAAAAAAAGAAAAAACATAACTGTTTTTAGCATTTCACATCACCCGTGGCATGTTATATGTCAGTTTTTCTCTGACACTGGTTAATGGACCAACAACAGCGTAAGCATAACTGGCCCACAGACCGGTTGTACAACATATTTTTTATACAGCCTGCATCTGACAGCAGATGCTCTCTGCAGTCTGAAGCTGCATATGTATTGCCAACAGACTCTCAACGCACTACTGTCGCTGAACCATCCATTTTCAATCACCCTGGTGTTACATGGTAAGATGTGAGATACAGGGGCAATCCAAATACATGGCTATTAAATTGTGTTTTATCCCCATCCATTCCTGATGGAGAGTGTAGCGTCGTGAAACTCTAAAAACGGTGCATGATCTTCAGTTGGAGCAGCTCTTCAGTCTTGCTGCCTAAAAATCTGGTTTGTCAAGTTTCCCCTCTCACATTTGATGTTTTGCCTCTTTTAACGTGCAGGAAGTCACATGCTTCAACTCAAACACTTAGAAGGACACTCAGTGTAAGATCCTCTTTGACTAAATACCCTGATTCACAGTGCTGATGATCCATGACAAAAGCTCGTCAAGTTTAAGGTGTACTTTTGGCTTTAAAGTCTCACGTTCTGGCTGTTGCATTACTCAAACTTCCAAAGTGCTGAATATGAATGTGCGCTTGCACAGAAAGGAGAAATTTTCACACATTAATTCTCAAAAATGTCATAACAGGTTTTGAGATCATGCAAAGTTGTTGTCCAGGCAATCACTCGGAAGGGGACATCAAACATACTTTGCACACAACATTCGACATTAGTTTTCTTACTTCAACTCAAATCAATAATGTTTAGAGCAAGCAGCAATCTCTGGGGCTGAGTGCCAAAGCCAATGCTGAAGGGCCAAAAGCTGCAGTTCCTCCAATGGCCACTTGAGGCTAACTCCAAAAGTGAGTCAACTGCCATAAACTCCTATGTAAAATGGACAGTGTCACAGCAGAAATAACAGAGTTTCCCCTTTCATAAGAACTATACATGGGATGTATATAATAAATATATAATGCATTTAAAAAAGAGAGAGCATTAAACATGAGCATTTAAGTAGGTAATGAATATTAATTATTAAAATCATGCTATGAGATTGCAGTTATGTGTATATGTTAAAAAACTGGTGTCAAAGAAAAGTTGTTGACAAGAATCAACAACAACAAGGAACAAGGAAATCAAGAGAAAAAGAAAACAAAAAGCAGGAAATAATTTATCTAAGTTTTACATTTCCATCACAGATCTGATTAAAGGTTGAGGTGAGTCAAAGAAGATGTTCAGTATTTTGGGGGGTGCTTGATCTAAGAACATTTGGGGTTTCATTGCATGGGTGAAAAGAGCAGAGGACTCACACACAGACAGGTCAGGTGTCACAGCCTCACCTCCTCGGTTCACGTACAGGCCTGCCTGGCCCTTCTCTTCCTCAATGGCTTTGTTGAGAAGCAGAGTCGCCTCTGCGTAGAGACCTTTGCAAAAGCACTGAACGGCAAAATCATTGTAGATGAGAGCCAGCTGAAACTGCGCCTCCTCCTGCACAGAGCAACTCTCAGCCTTATCATCCCTGACCTCCACCTTCTGACTCCTGATTTCCTGCTGTCCCTTCTTCTCCTCTTCTCCACTCAGCTCCACAGCCTGGATTATATCCTCAATGGCGTGTATGAAGTTCTTCATCCGTCTATACAGAGTCCCTCTGCAAATGCAAGGGAATAGCATTCAGCTGAATTAAATACATGTCAGCAAGTCAACATTCAGCTGTGTAACAGTCCCAGAACAGATTTTGTTAAGGTCTACACATTGGCTGGACACACCTGAACAGGTAGAGGCGTCCGTCCTCTGGGCTGTTGGCTAGAGCGATATTAATCATGCAAAGGGCTTCAGGCAACTCTCCACACAAAGCTTTGTCCACAGCCCTTTGTCTCGCCCGTTCACTCGCTTCCCGCAGCTGGAGTTGCAGAGCTCCAGCCACCGGACAGGTCGGGTTCAACGCCAACGCCAACTGCACGTCATGATAACAAACTGATGTCTGGATAGAAGAAGAAAGTTTCTGCTGGTTTAATCATAAATGTTAAACAGTAGACAAAGTATACTTAGAACACTGTATTGACTTGAACTGATGAGATCTTCAGGTGTAAAAAAAAAAAAACAGACTAAATGAATTTTTTGAGAATTAAAGCGCGTTTCATCTCGAGAAAGTTTGCAGGTTATATCTGATATAAAACTTAAACACTTAAAGATTGAGGAAATAGGAAATAGCAGCAACTGCAAATCTGGCCAAATCTGGCTGTTTTATTGCAGCAGTCATTATGATAGCAACATTAGTGTATAATGTTTGTAGACACTTTATCTACAACATCACTGAGCATTTACACAAACATTTCATAGGACTTTTTTCCGCTTGGCTGAACACTAACTGAGACCACGTGATATCTTTGTGGTTACAATGTGATGACAGACGAGATCTTACATGAGACGCATCCATGGATCCACAACCTCAGCACTTTGTTCTCTTATTGCTGATTTATTCTTGCCAAAATCAGTTTGTGGAAGCCTCAGTTCCCAATTTCAACTGTTTTTTACAGCCTATGTGTTGTAATGCTGCATGTTCTGTCCTGCTCTGTAGCTATAGTTAGTACATTGGCCCATTACACAGAGATCAATCAAAGAATCTTGGTATTAAAATATCGTGAACATGAATGCAAAACGCAAAACGTTGAGATTTTTACATAGGTTATACAGAGAGGTGTAAGAGATGCGACCTTGTTAAGCTCTTTGTGCAGTCGGGCTCTGAGGATGTATAGGTCGGAGGTGGGACCTTCTGATTCCATCCAGTCATTTACCAGCTTCAGACAGTCAGTGTGGCGACCTAAAGCTGTCAGACAGGCCAAGCTGGGATGCAAAGTATATGTATGTTTGTTAATTTCACATTTGAACTCTTGGGGACTTGTTATTAATCTTTTAACTTCTACACGAATAACAAATGCTCAAATCAATTATAAGGGAACTATAAGGTAACTTAGACACTAAACATATGTTGTACTTCAGTCTAGATGTTATGGCTCAGGCTCCTGACCTTCTGACCTTGTGAGCTCTGCAACCCGGTTTCACCTCAGCAGCTTTGCTGAAAGCCTCCAGTGCATCTACAAAAAAACCTTGGTCGAACAAACACTGACCCTGGGACAACAAGAGGCAGAGGGATCTATGTTAGGATAGTTCTCTCCACTTAAATCAAAATAGGATTCTTATTTCAACTGTAGTAATTAATGTTTGGTTGCTCGGCTCTGCAGCAGTATGCATCCCCGCCTTTCCATAGAGGCTAAAGGCAAGGAAAACCGCTACAAAAACCCTTCTCATAGAACAGAACAGGCATTAATGACAACAAATATAATCTTGATTATTTCATAAACAGAAGGAAACAGAGAACCTGGATGGTAGGTGGGTGGCAAGGAGGCATACATTGGCAGCAGTAGGTAAATCAGTGCATGCTATATGAGATTTGCGACTTGGGTGTGTAGTTTGGCACTAAGATCAGCTGATCTGCCAGGCCTGTGGCTGAGTTTGACTCAGTTCTATGTAGAATAAACTTAGATTCCAAGGAGATATATGATATAATGAACGTATATTTGAGAGAAACACTGTCAAACAATATGCAATCTTTTTCATGTCAACAACTTTAAATCAAACAGAAAATAACATGTTTTTTTCTTTTCAATTATTTTTTACTTAAGAGGTGCTCATAGCTAGAGTCGTGTCCTGAGATGACCCGAATAGAAATCCTCAAATAGAAAAAAACTCTCTGAAACTGAGTGTTCAGACCTTCTGTGTATATCCAGCATTGTAGCAGTATATTCATGACAGAAAATAAGAAACGACATGGCAGGTCTTCATCATTGGACCCCGCGAATACTTCTACCTGCAGATAGTAAATGAAGGCCAAACGATCCTCGAAGGCTCCAGGCTCCAAGAGCCAGGCCTGTTTGTAACAGGCTGCTGCTGACTGGAAGTCACACAGCTGTAGGTAGGCCTCTGCCTGGCTCACATATAGCTGAACCTAGAACATGTAATATCTCAGGGTATAGCAATATAGAGAGTATAAGACACAGGCCAGAAAAGAGACGCATACATAATATACAGAAAGCATAGCTAAAGGTTATGTTAAAAAAAGGCCTCATCTGATCTATTTTACATGAAAATCAGCAACATCTTGTGTGACCACTGTGGAAGGTGACCTGTTGTGGCTGCAGAGTGATGGCTTTGGAGAAGCAGATGACAGCCCTTTCATACTGGGATTTCCCCATTGCCTCTTCTCCATTTGTATAACTGCAATAACAAAAACAAAAACAAAATATTACTTAACAATGAAAATACTTAAAATTCAATAAACTGTCTGTATATAAGTGGAAGGTAATCAGACACAATTTGGTTTTAAAGGAAGTGGAAGGGAGCTAAAACAACTTATTCCACACAGAGGATGAACTTAGATGAAGCACAAAGG